ACTGTACCTGATATACAGTATATCCAAAATAATCGATATTGAATCTAATTGAATTGGTAATGGAATCGAATCGCAAGCTTGTAAACGAGAATTGAATCAAATCGTGAAATTTGTGTAAAAACCCAGCCCTAGTTACTACCCAGCACTGTATATCTATGTCACCAGTAGCATCCCACCATTGTTGCAGTCATTTTTGCATGGACACACTCTTCACAAAATGTAAATATATGTAGTTGCAAACTTCTTTTTTGCTAAATGACATATGAAAACAGACGGTGAATGCGGCCAGCTGCGATGCTGAGGGCGGAAGCATCCTGTTGATTTATCAAATGATTTATCTGCAGAGATGCCTAAACAGTGTCTCTCTCCCTCCTCTGGTGACAGAGTTACGATCTCTCTGGCTGTCCCACCACCTCGCCATTTTACTGCCTCCTCGTGTTGCATCTGCACTCGTAACACATGCACAACCACACTAACTCACTCCTCTCACACTGGTCTTTTATTCACGACTAACCCGCTTGTGGCACGCTTGGGGTTTTCCTTCCTCAGTCTTTCACAGAGTTACAGTGTGTCGCTTTGATGTGAGATGGCTTCACTGTACGCTTGTTTCTCGGGTTATTACTGATGCTTCTGGATAAACATTTTTTTAAAGATGAAGATATTCGGAAGGTTGAAGTGTACTTTGGTGAGTTTGAATACTTTTTTGTGTGCGTTTTATGTTAACGCAAACTATCTCGAGATATTATTTGTTACATGTACTGCATAGAATTGAACATGTATTTTTTTCAGTGACCTTTAGTGAATGTTTATTTAGTATTTTACTTATTGATATTATCGCTAGTACAATATTTATTTAGTGTAGAGGTCTTCAGACTTTTTCAGGCCAAGAATCCCTTAGCCACTTGACTGGTGACTGGTCTTTGTGGGATGGAAGACTGTGAAAACTGGAAGACTTTCCGTACCCACTGTAAGCAATAGGCTATTTTAGAAAGGAACATTTAAAAGAGGAAGAAGAATCCCTTAGTGGATAGAGAGATGGAGTAGGGACTCCTGTTAAATATAGCCAAGCCTGCTATAGTCATTGCATTTTAAATGTGAGGTATATAAAACACTTTTATAGTACCATATTAAATATGTACTAAATACAATAAATAGCTACACACATTTTGTGTATTTGCATACTTTATGATGCTTACATTGCAAAGGCATTTAAATCATCATTATTGATGTATATAGTCATACGCATTACATTTTTTTTTTAGTGTAGAGGTCTTCAGACTTTTTCAGCATTAAATTTTTTTTTTTACTGAATACATTTACTTTTTATTTGCTTTTTAAAATAAAATATTTATCTGTAAAAGTATATGCATATTGTATTGGTAAAACAACATACATTTAATTTTATATAAATAAAATTAATTACAAATAATAAATCGTAAATTAAGTTGAAAATGTCTTTTAAAAGGTATAATTGTTACCGTGTATGATAAGGTATTTTATTTAAAGGGATAGTTCACCTTCAGTTGCTGGTCCCAATTGACCTCCATAGTATGTATAAAAAAAACACACACACACACACACACAATGGAAGTCAATGGGGACCAGCAACTGAAGGTGAACTATCCCCTTAAGGTTTTTATTGTAGCATTTTTTATACTTAACTATTATATTGAGGTCAGTCTAACTACTCTGTCACATTAATACATAGACTTAGACATCAATATGTAATGTGAAGTTGACATTTTACTAGCTAAACTAACTTTTATTTTAAGAGGCTTATTGGCCTTGACACACATTCATGAGGATCTCAGGGGGTCCTTTCTATGATATTGTTTCCTGTTTTTTTCCCCTCTGTTGGTTGCACCACATGACAGGACTTTTTAAATATATATATATAAGCTGTGAAGCACTTTATACCCCTCTAAAATACATATCTTAATTGTTTTCCAGAAAGTTTTTTAAAAGTTTTTTTTTTTTTTTACATAAATGTAAGAAATTAATAGTTCATAAATATCCTTACTTTTGGGGGGATTCACACCACATGACATTTTACAATCTAAACTAACCCTGCAATAATACAAAAAACTAATTATTTTAAGAGGCTTACTGGTTTTTACACACAGTCATGATATCATTTCCTGATTTCTGAGTTATTTTTACTGTATGTTGGTCGCACCACATGACAGGACAGTGTTTATATTTATTTATTTATTTTTAATACTAGTAACTTTTTTTGTATATATATAAAAATATATGAATAGTAATTCGCACACTTGATAAATTGTCCATAACTAGTTATGGTTAATTATTCATATTTCCTGTTGTGAGCTAAATTCGCTACATCATATAAGAGGTGCATTCATGTCTTTTTATGTATGAATGGCATTTTTAATGTGTTTTTAAATAAACTAATAAATTTGGGCACAAAAATGAGTGTCATTCCATTGACCCGATTACATGGATTGCTTTTGACACCATTTGAATAAAGTTAAGAGCATAAACTCTTGATTCTACAGCGTTTGGACAGGACAGCGTCTCCCTCCACGAGCAGTATCGACTCTGCCAGCGAGCCACGGGAGCGTATTGTTAAGGGAGAGAGTATCCTACAGCGGGTCCAGTCTCTGCCAGGAAACGAGATCTGCTGCGACTGTGGCCAGGCCGACCCTCGCTGGGCCAGCATCAACCTCGGCATTCTGCTCTGCATCGAGTGCTCTGGCATTCACAGGTGAGAGTCTGCTGTTTGTTTTAGTGAGAATTTAAGTTATCCACCTTTTCATAATGAGCCTGCTGCATTTTAAATTATGGGAGGCACTTCCAGTTTGGGAAAATTCCACTCAAAAAGACTGAAACAACTCTTTTCAAATCATAAGGTTGCACTACAAATAATCCTGATCATCAGTTTGACTGAATGAGCTGTAAATATTCCTTCATGTTCTATTTTCAGACGTCAGCAGAATAACGTAATGCCTGGTATTTTAAAGGGATAGTTCTCCCAAAAATGAAAATGTTTGCTACACACACATATTTTGTTATCCGCTGGAACGCCACTACCTCGTGAACGCACGTACCAGTTAGAGGAAGCTAGAGATTACGGTTTATATAGTTTTAAATATGGATATTTTTCTTACACAAACGCATCGATTCACTTCAGGAGGCCTTTATTAACCCCCCGGGGCCGTGTGGAGTACTTTCATGATGGATGGATGCACTTTTATGGCCTTCAAAATCTTAACCCCAATTCACTGCCATTATAAAGCTTGGAAGAGCAAGGACATTTTTTAATATAACTCCGATTGTATTCGTCTGAAAGAAAGAAGAAATTCATATACACCTACACTGTTACAATTTTTTGTGTGAAATACAGTATATTCCAGGTTAATAATTGCGTTACTTTCACAGTAATTTCACAGTGGGACTTCTCTTGTATCTAACTGCACTCTCAGAAATTTCTTGTAAGCAAACGTCTCCGGTTACTTATGTAACCATGGTACATAGTTTAAAACAAAGACACAGCGGAGCCACTGCGCATCTCCATTCAAACACAGCGGTGTTTCGTTTATGAATGAACGGGGGTTTTTAAACTAATCTAGTGAGTCAGTGATTCATGATTACCCATTCATAAAGATCATCCATTCCTGAATGAATCAGCCGTTCGAATGAATCAATTGAATGAATGATTCAGTGATAAAATCAGTGATTTGCCGCCACCTGCTGGCAGTTTGTTTCATTTTTAAAGTATCTTTTCCGTTATTTAAATCATTTAATATTTCTATATTCAAAATGTTATATTTAAAACATTAATCTCATCATGAATTTATGGATTTAATTGCACTCCTCTGAGCTTCATTAAATGTCTGAAAGTACACCAAGCCACTTTTGTGTTCTTCCGTGCCACCTCTACAAATTAATTTTGTTAATACTGATTTAATTTGATTGGTAACTTATATGTCTTATTCTACTTGTTCTTATTCTGTCGTTTTTAATTACAATTTTTAAAAAGCTTAAAATATCATTTTTTTAAGAATTTGACAAAAGATGACATACTTTTAATAAAGTTAGAGGAGTCAAATATCACCTCGTAATGGGAAGGCTACTTTTTGATAAAATGTTGGATTATTGATCAGAAGGTGCTCCTAAAATTTTGAACGTGCTCCTAAATTTTTTAAGTTAAAAAAAGAAAAGTAAGCGTAGAGCCCTGCTGTGTTTACAGTGTAGGATGGCTTGAGGGTGGGTCATTTTTATTTTTGGGTGAACTATCCTTTTAATGTGACATGGAATAACAAGAATATCTGTAGAAGTTCTTTTCAGTCTGCTGCAGTATTTGCCATTGTTATTTGACTTGTTCACACTCCAGATATCGTACAGTCGACATAATGACTCTAAACATCTGAGAACCGTCTGCTTCCATATTGATTTGACTGAAGATAGACAGGCTTTAAAGCCACCTGCGTCAGAACATTTATCCCAACTGCATCACTCGTGACAGATTGAACCCAACAGCAGAATGGCTTTGCTTGAAAGCCATATGATGCTCATGTACACACTGCGTCACACCCTCAGGGTGAAGCACTTTTCTGCTCCATCAGTTCCTCTGCAGATTACCGGTGCCATCCTGCTAATCCGATTAAATCGCTCCTACCTCCTCAAAGATGGCCGTCCATAACTGAACGCAAGACAGAAGCCTCATAATGCACAGAGGCATTAGAACTGATGTGTTCAGACACAACAGGGGCTGCAGATGGGGATTCTGTGATTCTACAGGTTTCTAAAGGAGGCTGACCCAAATCCTGTCATTGCTAGACTTATTTTTAATCACAGAATATAATAGAGGTCGTTATAAAAAGTGTGCTTAAATCAACCATGCTTGAAGAGCTAATTTTCTGATTCTGTCTCTGCAGGAGTTTGGGCGTCCACTGCTCTAAGGTTCGCTCTTTAACACTCGACACATGGGAGCCAGAGCTTATGAAGGTAAGATCCCACTGAGAACTAAATGGGTGCATCTCACAAACCTGTTCAAAGTATTTTGGTATCCTATTGCACCCCTATCAAAGAAAAGTTGGGAAAAATAACACATTTTTAGCTTGAAGTAAATAATGTCTGTCTCTACTTTAAGATCGTTTGCAAAGTGACAGTATATTTATGAATAATATCCCCTAAGTTTCCCACTAAATGCTCATTACCGTAATGTGAAATGTTGTTCTCAGTACTATAATGCAAAAAATAAGATATTCATACATCATTATAGTATTTATTTTAGCTGATTTAAATAAAAAAACATTGTATTGCAATTTTAGATTTTTATTTTATTTTGTAATCATTTTTTTTATTTTGAATTCTTAAATTTGAACTGTATAATAGTTATACTGTAATAATAATGGGAAAGACAACTTGAAAAAAACATCAGGATGCATTACAGTAATGGGAATTTTGAGGGAATTCTATGAAAACCAGACGTCCTTTCCTTTATGCAAATGTCATTCTATTATATTATAATTATTATACAAAACCATATATTGTTATATTATAATAATTTCGTATAACAATTATTTATTCACCCAAATCCCAGTACAGAATTAATTTAGTCACTATTAAAACTTGGTTATGTTATGTTATGTTATGCTATTTTTTACTTTTATCAGTCAAATAATGCTTTTCTGACTGTTTTCTCTGTAGTTAATGTGTGAGCTTGGCAACACTGTAATCAACCAGATTTATGAAGGTGCGTGTGAGGAGCAGGGACTTAAGAAACCTGGTCCCAACAGCTCAAGGTCAGTGTGCAGCCAACTCTCCGCCATTGCATTATATCAGTTGCCAGAATCTATCAGAAGATAATATTTTTTTCTTTTTGATGTCATTATATTTTCATATGGTGAATGTTTCAATGATGGAAGCTCTCGTTTGTGCTTCTTATGTTTTATGTAGGCAAGAGAAAGAAGCGTGGATCAAAGCGAAATATGTGGAGAGGAAGTTTCTGAAGAAGATGTGTGGTGCCGAGGCCCTGGTGGAGGGGAGCAGAAAATCACACCACTGGAGCGTGAAGAAGTGCAGGAGACACAACAGCTCCATCAGAGCCCCTAAAACCCGCCGGAAATACAGGCACGATGCCAGGATCATGTCGCCAGCCAATCTCTCTGCTGGTACTTGCTTTTGTTATTTCTGAACATATGTCATTTCTGAACTGTTTTCTGAGTTAGCCCTCATTCGGGTTCGTTTTGACCTGTAAGAGATATATTTTTTTTTTAAAGTAAATGAACCCATTTTTAGTAAGGGAACAAAACTTTCCAAATTCTTTAAGACCCTCAAAATATGCATCATTCTTTCTTTTCTTTTTTTACTAGATATAAGCGTCATTTGGGACCAGGTATATATGGAGTACCATTAGTACCAAAAATACTTTTTGTAAAATATATTTAGCCTTTCCCCATATCTCACACACATTTTGGACTGAATTAAAAAAAACAAACATATGTATGCCTATTGATGAGCCATTGCAGCATGAAACATTTGATCACTTTTGTAATCCGTAAGTTTAATTAAAATAAAATGTATTTATTTTGTATGAAAACTTCTCAGAGTAATATTCATGTTGTTTTGTTATGAATATGTTTTCATATGTCTGAATGTTTCTGAGCAATCTTGAGTCTTGAGGAATTTAATTAAATGTCATTCATTGTAATGGGCTTAAAGGGTTAGTTCACCCAAAAATGAAAATTAGCCCATATATTACTCACCCTCAAGGCATCCTAGGTGTATATGACTTTCTTCTTTCAGAGGAATCCAGTCGGAGTTATATTAAAAATTGTCTTTGATCTTTCAAGCTGTTTAATGCCACTCAGCGGGTGTTGCATGCATCAGCCCAAAAGCACTTAATTAAAATGCACCCATCCATTAAAAAAAGTGTCTCACATGGCTCCGGGGGGTGAACAAAGGCCTTCTGTAGCAAATATATAAGTATTTGTAAGAAAAATATCCATATTCAAAATGTAATAATTACTTTAATGTAGCTTGCGCTCACTGTTGTACACTGGAAGCAGTTCTGGGCTGATGACGTAGGTCGGCTTTGCAAATTTTGTACAGTGATATATTCAAAATTAAGATAAATTGCATCAAAACAAAGATATATTGCGTCATAGCTTTTTTAAATTAAAAAAAAAAAAATCTCAATTTTGAATAATAAAAATGAGCAAATGCAGCAATAACATGGTAATAACATAGTAACATGTAATACCTAAAAAAGAATGACATTCTCACTCATTAATGATCAGATACAATATGGTTTTAGTTGAAAAATATTATATGTTATGACTGTTTTATAAAATATGGAATGAGAAAATACAGATTTTGAATGCATTATGAAGGTTAGGCAAAGTGAAAAGTTGACATGATGTTCTTCTCTACTTGTCCTCCTCAGCTGCGGCAGCTGCAAAGTTTCGGAGAGAATCCTTGTTTTGTCCCGACGAGCTTGATTCGCTCTTCTCTTACTTTGACACAGGCTCAGGGCCTCGCAGTAAGTTCTTCATACGACTTTACCTTCTAATGTCCATGAGACAAGTCCATCCCATATATCTCCTGCTGTTTAGTTCATAAAGACTTCATTTTGAGAGTTGCTACAGGAACTTCAGTCTGCATGTTTGCCTGTTGCAGACAAATTTTATAATGCATTGTGTGAGAGGTCAAGCACTGAATGTTTGAGAAGGTCATGAGTAACGTGTCCCTCGCTTGGCACCCACTGGCCCCGCAGGTCTCAGCAGTGATAGCGGGCTTGGCGGCAGTACTGACGGCAGCACAGACATACTCGTTTTCGGCTCAGTGGTGGACAGCGTCACTGAGGAAGGTGAGAAGACGTCCTACATTGGTATGTCTATCTGTTGTGTGTTTGTCCCCTTCTTCATCTCCCATGTTTTATTGCAGAGCGTGAGGACTCGGATGAGTCCAGTGGGGAGGTTGATATCGAGCAGGAAGCATCGGATCCAGAGGACGGCAGGGAGCTTGACCCAAAGACGCTGCTTCATAAGGCATCACGGGCTAGGAACCTATCGGTCATGGCAGAGGCACTCGCGCACGGTGCAGATGTCAACTCCGTCAGTGAGGAGGACGAAAGCAAGAGTCCATTAATACAAGCCGTCGCAGGGGTGAGACTTCCTACAACGAACAAAGTTTGGTGTAGGATTTACTTTGAAACCATTTTCACTCATAAATTGCTTTTTTTTTTTTTATCACAAATAAACGAGAAATTTGGAAGTAGAAAGACTGAAATACTATTTTCTTATGAAACATACTCTTTGTTTTAATTTACAACTATGAAAAATCTTTTTTTTGCAGTGTATACTTCATGTACTGCTAGTAGAGTACATTTACAGTGTTTACTATATTCAGTGTTTCTAGTAGGGCTGTCAAAAAAATTTTTTTGAATTTCGAATGCTAAAATAAAAATCCACGTTCGAATGCAAAAACGTTGCATTAGAATTTTAGGTGTGCGCTAAGGAGGCAGCTTTATCAGTGGTGCACGAGATCATGCGATGACGATGTAAGTGTCGTTGCATTTTAATGTTTTTGTTTAGCCTGTCCAGTTGAAGCTACTAGATGCGGCGCTGCTGCGTTGTTAATTACAAATATTGCGGGAAAAAGGAACATCAATGTGGAGAAGATCATCTTTACGTCAAAACTGAAACCAAGCCGTTCACACAGAACGCATATTTCACGCATTTTCTAGAGGGACATCTATCACCGTTGCACTCGCGTCTCACACAAAAGAGTTTAGAATGTTTAGAAAGCCATGTAAAATTAATGCAAGTTCAACTTTGAAAAAACATATATTGAGACTTTATGGCAGGTTTTTTCCCCCTTCCCACTGCAACTCGTGTTTTTAAAGGGGTCATATGATGCTTTTTTAAAGATCATTATTTTGTGTATTTGGTGTAACAGAATATGTTGACATACTTTAATGTTCAAAAAACACATTATTTTTCAAATACTGTACATTATTGTAGGTCCTCTATGCCCCGCCTCTCTCAAACGCTTCGTTTTCTACAAAGTCCCTCCTTTGACAAGCGCAGTCTGCTCTGATTGGCCAGCTGACCCAGTGCATTGTGATTGGCCGAACACCGCAAGCACTCGTCGGAAATGTAACGCCCCTTACCATAATCGCGAGCTTCATCTTTCAAAATAAATGTAAAGACAGAGCCCGAAAGGGGAACAAAGTCTCGTGATAGACACAGTGATGAATATGTGTTTGCAGTACACAAGCCACGGTTAAGACAGCTGACTCCACTGTGATGTGATGTGTCTCTCTCTCTCTTGCTTGCACATGCGCACACACACACACACACACACCGCTCTCTCTATCTCTCGCTCGCACGCGCTTGCACATGCACACACACACACACACACACACACACACACCTCTCTCTCTTGCACACACACACACGATGCCCAAAACTCCGCATATGAACAGTCAATAGCAAATACTTGAACTAATAACAAAACAGTAGCTGATTCAGAAGCACCAGATTGTCATAGCAATAGATTGTCATAACAAAGCAAAGAATGACCTCCTCTCCTAGGTTCACGAAACGGTCGTCCATAAAATGCATTGCTGTTCTGTTGTAAGTAATCTTAAACATTCCTAAATGCATCTACTTCCGGAAGGCCAAATAAAGTGCTTTTGCTTTCACCTAGAAACACACAGCGTCTCCCTGACATGCTGCATCAACACTAACTGCTGTTCCTGAAACCACGCCTTCTTTCTTTGCGTGAACATTTGGGCGGCATTATGC